TTTCCTATATGTTCTGGGTTTTTGTCTTCCCCCCCACTTCCCGTATTTTCTAATATTTCCTGGGGAATCGACGATTCATTGTGTCTGTGTGTTTTTTCCCCTCCTGACACCACCAAGATCACCACCACCACCACCACCACCACCACCACCACCACCACCACCACCACCACCACCACCACCGTGAATCCCCACCACCACCGCCTCCTCCACCAACGATCACCACCACCACCAAGATCACCACCACCCACCACCACCACCAACGATCACCACCACCACCACCACCACCACAAACCACCACCACCACACTGCCGCTTTGCCGCGCTCGGGGCTGCTCGCAACCATTGCCGAGGCCATCCGATGTCACTGCACCGAGGTGGCCTCCATTGCTGGCGCTTCGAGTGTACAGCAATCTGGGCGTTGACCTAAGGAACCCTAAATAAGGAACGAGGCCCCTTTTGTCCACGGGTTAAACTTCGATTTCCCGTCGAAAACAGAAGGAACACCTGAGGCAAGCTGTGAAACACTTAAGGAACACGGAGCCTCTCCCCAACGAAAAGGGTTCCTTCTTCAGCGACCCGACTGTAGGCCAGTCCTGCCAATGCGGTCGAGAACTTTTGCTTAGCGTGTCGCGGCGGCGGCCCCGCGACACGCTATGCCCTGCGAGCGGATGGCGTGTCGCTCTGCTCCGCGGGGCGGGAGGCTGGAAGAAACTTGATACGTTGATGTCTGGGGAGTGGGACACGCATAGCGTGTCGAGCCGAGGCTCGGTGGACCAGAACTGGCGGCGCAACACGCTGAGCCAAAATTCCTGACCGTATCTCCCCTTGTTTCTATTTCAGATATCTGCAAGTCTCCATGCCCTGTGCTGACCTTGCCTCGCCCTCCCCAGAACTCCCCCGATCTTGGTTTTGCCCTGTTGACCTGCATCTTTGCATCGCGGAAACGGTTTTACAGTGATCACCCACACTTGCCGCCTTGCAGTCCTAGGTGCTCGTGTGACCACGCGCACTTCTGTGACCTGGTTATGCGGCCGATGTCTCTTATCTCAATATCTATCTCTATGTCCCCCTCTCTCTTTCTCGATCTCCCCCACCCTCTCTCTCTCTCACGCAAGCTCTCCCTCTAGATCTCCCAATCTGCACCATTACGCATTACTAAATCCAATACTCACTTCTCTCCCCTGACTGTGTCCAGAAGATGCCGGGCCCTCTCCGCGCAGTGCTGTTTTACACGCAAGATTTCGAAGATCGTGTTTTCTTGTTTTTTTTCGGTCTGACTGTTGCTGGTGATTCAAACTGGTGCTCCGTTGCAGCGCGGGCCTAATGTTCTCTCGCCCCCACGCGGGCCACTTTTCTGCATCCGATTTTTTTGGTCGTTTTCGCCCCCCTCATTTCCCCTCCTCCGCCTTCCCCTAGTCCTCCTGCTCCTCCCGATCCTTCCACTCAAGCTCCTGCTGCTGCAGCTGCTGCAATTCGTCCTTGTTATCCTCTCTCCCTGTCCTCTTCCTTTTCCTCCTGTTCATCCTCCTGCTCATCCGCCACACCCTGCTCCAGTGTACGCAAGTCAATTTTTCCGATTGCGCATAACACGATGGGGCCCTTTTTGGAGATCCAAGTCCAGTATGACACGCGTATGCGGATAGAGAGACAAACACAGCGCAATGGGAAGTGATGGAGGGATAGGATGTCAGATATGGCGCGGGCGCACCTAGCTTGACCTCACCCTCTCTCTTTCTCTCGCCCTCCTTCCCTGCCTCCCTCCCTCCCTCTCCTTCTCTCTCTCTCTTTCTATGTATTTCTGTCTGCTTTTTGTTGATTATGTCTCTCTCTCTCTCTTTCTCTCTCTTTCTCTCTCTGTCTCTCCCTCTCGCTCTCTGTTTCTCCCTCTCCCTCTCTCTCTCTCTGTCTCCCCTCTCTTCCTCTCTTGTTCTCTCTCTCTCTCTCTCTCTCTCTCCTCTCTTCTTAAACATCTCTCTATTCATATACTAAACAAAGCCAGGACCCACTCACAAGTGCCCCCACTCAAAACCAAAAAATCGGCCCTCCAGAAGACATCTTGAACGCTCCTGCAGAACGTCTCCTTAGGTGCTTCTGGGCCTCCCAGAAGTCCCTCCTGGCAGGCCTCGAAGACAGGCTCAAGGCGGTCGGGAGGGCGCCTCGATTGGCCTCAGACCACCCTTGGGCGCCACAAGACGGCCCAGGAAGACCCGCAAAAACCTCCCAACCGCCACACATGTTGATGCCTTCCAACAAATTGTGTGATTTGGAGGCATCCGCTTCTTTGGTCATCCGGGCGTTCGGGACCGCCGAAGATTCCACCAAGATCGCCGCAAAACGGGCCGAAAAGGCTTCCCCCCCTCTCTTTTGCATCTGCGACCCCTCCGAACTCTATTGCCTTACGATCTCTCTTGGACCTGATGCTGCCGCTCCGCTCCGACCCTAGCTGGGCCCAACTTAGGTCTCATGGGTCTGTGACTCTATAGATCAGCACCCCGCCCCTCCATGTAGGCGACAGCCTTGGCGCGCAACATACTGTTCTTGTTGTCGAATACGAGCACAACTTGCCAATCCTGGCTGGAGAGCTTCGGAGGAGCAGCGCGAGCGCCCAGCATGCTGTCTGCATCAAGCCCAGTGTGCCTGCTATGCGCCCCTAGGGGCACACTGCTGCACCCTAGAGCATACCTGGAGCTGGCCTGAAACCCGACCTCCGCTACACTCGGGAGCGGCCAAGAGGGGGGTGTCCAAGAGGGGGGGGTGTGCAAATCATGACCGGCGGCATGTGCGCGGCCCAGCGGGGGGGCCAGGAACGTAATGAAATAAGAAGAGGCGCCATGAAATCTCGGGAAATATCATGGCCGACGCCATGATATCTACCCCCCCCTAGTCATCACCCCCCTCTTTTCCGCCCCCGATACACTTTCCATGGACCTGTTTGCGAGGCCGCCCATGTGTACTCGTGCCCGCTTCCCCGTGCGCTCGCTGTCGATGTCCGTCGCAGAATGTCGCGACTGGCGTATTTGGGGCAGGTGGCTTCAAGACCATGTCGGGAACACGACACTCATACTTTGAGTGGACACGTAGGGTGCCATCATCAAGGCTTCTTGCGCAGACGTCTTCTGTAGGTCATCAGATAATCCCACGCCCAACACATCGTGATATCCGCGTGTATTTGGTGGCCTCAATGCAGTGTCTACCAAGATGAGCGTAATTCCTCTCAATATCTCGCACGAGCAAGCCACATCAATCCGTGGCTAGAGCATGAACTGGTTGCGGGTAGGCCGTGCCGACGAAACATGTAGCTCAATTGTGGATCAGCGACCGCGTATCTTACGGCGCGCAAGCAAAGGTGGCAGACGAGTGGTCTACGGGTCAAACATGTGAGCGAAGTGTTGATGCATCATGCTCGCTGGTGCGTGAATAGCGACCACACTATGCGCAGACTGCTGGCGCCTTGGGAACAATACTCGGGTGGGCTCTGACATAGAGCGCACAGACAATCATGAACGAAGGCCATGGCCACTCTAATCCTGCCTGACAATGACTTGCACAAACTTTGTGGACACGGCACGCGGACACTGTATTTTGACAATTTCTGAAAGGTATTGACAATGGGCGTGCGTCAGCGATACAATACCAGCCGCTGCGTTTTACACCAGTCGCGACATGCTCCGGTCGGAACTGAAGACTGTATGAGAGATTGCGGGTACGTGAGCTGGACACTGGCTATGAGGAAGCTCTGCCGCGCGGATGGATTAAGGGACTTGCAGTGCACTTGGCCTGCGAGAGCAACGGGCTTCTTTGGCATAGCTGTTCGCGCGAAAAGAACCCCTGCTTGTACCACGTTAGCACCTAAGAACAACACGCATGGCCGACTCCGGAAGTTCTGGGCGCAGCGCTGTTGACTTCTCTTAGAGGAGCTGACTTCGCCCCGCCAGCTCCTGCTGGATTTCCGCCCACTTCCGAAGAGGGCGAGATGTCAACCCTTCGACTCGTTGAGGGCGAGGTCCTTTTCTAGAGCTGGCCACACTCGAAAGGAAGTGCCCCGGCCCAATCACCAGAAATCCGCTGCCGCTCAGGAAGGCTATCCCACTCGCGCGATCAAGACCCGACCACACATCTGCACACCACGCCAGAGAAAAACGGAACGCATCGCGATGAGAAGAACTCAGTGGCACTCTGAGAGGTCGCAGCTGGCACCCGACAGTGCGCCCAATAAAGTGTCACGAGGACTTGGGGAGAAGGGACGAAGAGGAGGAGGAGGAGGAGGAGGAGGAGGAACCGAGAGCATGTTCCAAGCCCAAACCTGAGCATCGATTCTGCAGCGTTTGCAAAGTATGACCGACCATGCCTTTGCACCAAACGCCGCACTCCTCGTCCCCCGCGGCGGTCCTTAAAACATGGCTAGGATCGGGATAAATCGCTCCAGAGCGTTCCGGAGCGCTCTCAGAGCGTTCCTGAACGCTCTGGAGCGGCCGCGGCGCCCAATACATCCTCCAAACCCGCCGATTCTCAGAGATTTCGAGTTATCCCGATCCGATTTTGTCCCGATCTTCGCGTCGTTTTAGTCCTCGTCCGCCACCCAGCTGCCCGTGACGGTGTTCTCGCAGTCGTACCGGCTCACCGCCAGTAGCTCCTCTGGGAGGACGCGCACTCGAGGGGCAACGATAAGGGGGGGACTGGCTCAGGGGGGGGGGGGAAACTGAAGGGGCCCCAGGACACACAAATAAATACACACAAATAAAAACATCCCCCATATTTTCCTATATTTTCCGGGTTTCTGTCTTCCCCCCCACTTCCCATATTTTCCCATATTTTCTGGGGAATCGACGATTAATTGTGTCTGTGTTTTTTTTTCCCTCCTGAGAAAAGTCGACCTGGGATCGGCGATGCATCGCCAAGACATCGGCGATAGGCCCCCGATAATGAATCCGCACCTTCCTGGGCGGGGTGGGGCCATCAGACCCTGATTCACGATCAGAGGGCGATTCGGGGTCTATGCATTCCCCACTGGGCCTATCCCCCCCTATCCTTGCCCCAGTAAACTGCACCCATACACCGATCCTGGCCAGGCCCACCTTAGGCCAAGGATCGGCGTAGGTGTATAGCTGGTGCCCTCCGATCCTCCTCCACGACCCTGCCCGACGTGCTCATCACGGTGCGGATGCCGAAGCCGATGGAATGATCTGGCAGGAGGAGGGGGCATTTTTTCTTCACTGAAATGCGGGCGTTACGATTTTTCCACGCCGGGCGTTTTCGCCCAGCTTCGGGCGCTGGGGCCATCACAGATCGATCTGGCTCGGAAGATGCCGCAGAAAGATGGGGTCTAGGGCTCCAGTCTTGATGTTTCGCGATGTTGTATGTTTTTCGCAGCGTCGGATCTCAGGGTTATCCAGCGCATCGCTTGAAGAGGGGGACGATGAGGAACCGGAGAGGGGGACGCGGGGGAGGAGCGAGGAGGACAGTGCTGGGCGAGGGGGACAGATACACGGGCAACGATGCGCACACAACACTGGGCAGTGAACCTGCTGGAGTGCTGTCACGTGCGTGGCAGCAAGGGGCATGCACAGCACTGGCAGTACCTCACCGCAGGGGGGTTCAGAAGCCAATCCAAACAACCACGAGCACGTGGCAGCCGGCCAGCAGCAACAGCAGCATCGGCAACCGCAGCAGCTAAAGCCTGATCTCAAGTTTCGCAGACATCTCAAGCACCATGAGTCGAAATGCTCAACACGCTCCACACTTCACCCCTCCACCGCTCCCCGTCGCCACCCCTCCCTCAGACGTCCTTCCTCCTCTATATCTTTCTTCCTCCCTCACTCCCCCCTGCCCTCTTCCTCCTTTCTTCCCTACGTCATCCCTCCTCCCACGTCTTCCCGAGCAGGGGGAGGACGGCGGAGAGAGAGAGAGAGAGGAAACAAACAAAACTAAGAAAGAGAGAGAGAAGGCATAATAATTGCTGCTGCTGAAGGTGGTGGTGGTGGTGGTGGTGATGCTGATGCTGATGCTGATGCTGATGCTGATGGTGATGTTAATGCTGATGCTGATGATGCTGATGATGAGGGTGATGATGAGGATGAGGATGAGGATGAGGATGGCGATGATGATGCTGGTGATGATGATGCAGATGATGATGCTGATGATGTTGACGATGATGATGTTGATGGTGATGATGCCGATGACGATTAAAACGATGATGCTGCTGATGATGATGATGCTGACGTTGCCGCCAATGATGCTGCTGATGATGATGCTGGTGGTGATGATGATAATTAAGATGGTGGTGGTGATGCTGAGTATGATGATGCTGCTGCAGATGGTTCTGCTCTGCTTTGGACAGTTGGCAAAGCACAGCTGCCACCCGCTGACCATGGTTCACTGGCTTACCACCGAATGTGCTGATGCTGAAGCTGTTGTTGCTGACTATGGACATACCCATAATGGCAATACTGAGCATGACAATAAGAATGACGATGGAGATGGTTGTGATGCTGATGACGCTGGTGATGGTGATGCTGATGATGGTGATGATGGCGATGCTGATGATGACGATGGTGTTGATGATGATGCCGAGGAGGAGGGAGGAATAATAACAAGGAAGAGGAAGAGGATGAAGGAGGAGGAGGAGCAGGAGGAGGAGGAGGAGGACAAGGACAAAGATATCCGCATAAAGGGGGTGCCGCGTCAAGACACCAACGCAAGTGTCTTACGTTCTTCTGCCAACATCCCCTGCGAGTGGTTGTGCAACAGCCCTGCCTTCTCGCTAGGGCCCGCAAGGGGCATACCACATTGCTCAAAGGCAGAGTTCCGAGGTGGCCCCGTAGGAGAGAAGCTCGCTACCTTACGTTGACAAGTCCCTGCGGGTCAGTGCTGGGGGAGCTGCTGATGGTCCTTCCGCGTGCTCTAATGGTGGGGACGCGCGGGCTTAGCAGTGCTCCCAAGCAAGGGGGGAGGAGACGTCGACACGACCTTTCAAAAGGAGGAGAGGGGGAGGTACGGGAGGCCCGTGACCCCAAACTGTTGCCGGAGGGCTGCTAAGTCTACTATTTTGATTCTATGCTCCCCTCTCCCGCTCGGCTCACTGCTCGGTCTGGCTGAGAATTGCGCCATGCATTGTCGCATCTGTACTCTGATACCCTGTTGTAATATCCCACCGGCCCCCCTTGAAGTGCATGTGGGGTAGGGCATACTGGTAGTCACGGTAATGGTCGGGCCATCGAGGAAGCACACTGGTGGACTTCATGCTGATCACTTTATTCTCCTCCGACTCCCTGCAGTAGTGTACCTGTCGGTACTTCAAAAAATATTCCCCATTGCGATGACAATGCGAACGCTCCGCGATGCCCATCCTGTATGCCTCGAATTGAACTCCGAGAAACCTCGTTAATGCATCTCACGGCTGCCTGTGGGCTCGCCCAGCTTGCCTAAAGCAGAACTCCGAGAGAACCTCGCTAATGCTTCCCTTGGAATTCCTGGAGGCCCCAGTGGGTGCACTCACTGGTGGCAGCTGGAGGAGCTGGCTGTAGTCGTCTCCTCCGACTTGGGGTAGCCGGACTTTGCCTCGAAGGTCTCGGTGACATCCAGAAAGGTCTGTGCACTGTCTCCTAACTTCTGGCGCTCCTTGAGCCTCTTCGCTTCCTCTGGGTCGAGATTGTCCTCGTTGCTCAGCTCGCCCCTTCAAGGGGGCCCTCATGACTTTGCAAAGGTTCTCTCTGTAGTTCTTTGATATATTCAACGCCAGCTCACACTTGCTCTGCGCAGTAAAGGCCTTCCTCCTTGTTCTTCCCCACGCACCCACAGGGCACCTTGCGATGATGTCGCAACCCTTGACCTGGTGCGTCATCGGGAAGGACGCGGGGATCAGCTCGAAGAGCTCTTCTGGGCTCTCATCTTCTGGGCGGCATCGAAGAACTGGTAGTGGCACTCCACGATGGCGTCGTCTAGCTGCCGCAGCAGCTTTTCTGCTATGAGCGCCCCCATGTGTTCCCACCCTTGAGCTCCGCCACCATCGACGGCTCACTCTTGGGCAGGAGGACTTTACTCTCGCACCCGATCTTGGGCCACTTCTCGCAGCCGTCGCCGAACGCGTCCATCATCTTGCCTACCCACCCTTTCATCAGCACGTCTTCTGGATGGCTCTCCTGCGCTTTGACGAGCTGTCACCATGTCCACCTTGCAGCGCCGGAACTGCCGCGCGTCCCCTCTCGAGTCGGGGCTGGGCCCCCCCCGCCAGAATTTGTTTGGGAAGGTATGCCCGCCAGTGCAGGCCCTCTCTATTCGCCCCATCACGTGCGCCTCCTGCGCGCGTTGAACAGCTGCATGTTGTCGCCCCACTTGCCCGCGAAGTTCAGCGCCTTGAGGTGCGCCGACTGCTTTTCTCCCACGTTCTTCGCCGTCTTGTAGTCGCCCATCTCGTGCGGATCTTTCTCTTTCTCATCTAGCTCTTGTTTTGCCGCCTCCAGCGCATCTTCGTCGTTGATGTCCATGGCCATGTGCTTGTTGACCAGGATGCTGTATTCTTCTGCGCAGCGTAGGGCCTCTGTCATGCTCTCTCCCGCTCTGCTAAAGGCTGTAACTATACCTCCAGTCATTTTGATGCCCTTGATCAGCGCCTTCGCGATTTCTTATGGCCTCTCCATGGCCATCATGCTTCTTGCTGTGCGAGACTTCTTATGTGAGCCTTCCTCTTCTGCCAGGAGTGCTTGTGCTGCTTTGATCTGTCCGAGGGCCTGGGCTGCCCACGCGGCTCCTTTTACTTTCCCCTTCTGTTCTCGGCAGACCTACTCTCTCGAAAAATACTTCTCGCCTCCATGCAGCGTTCCTTGTTCATCGCTCCACTCTTCCCACTCCTCCAGCCTCAGCTCCAGCTCGCAGTCGATTCACATTCTCTTGCATTCACTGCCGTTGCCTCCGTATATTGTATGACCTGGTTCATGTCTCGCGTGCCCCCTGTGGCTCTCGATCATCCTGTAGTGCTGGAGCGCCTTGCTGCAACGCCCGCGCGGCCATGGCTGGCTACTGCCCGTGAAGGCCATGGGTGGCCACCCTGTGTTGCGCGCTCCGAGAAGCTCCGCTAGTGCGCAATACTGCGCGACCAGGCCAGCGTTGAACCAGATCAGCTGTGACAGCCGAGTATGATCGATGGAGATGTTAGCGTATTCCCATCTGCCCTGTTAATCGCGCAGTACCTTGTGTTCCGGTCAGAATTCCCCCCGCTGGCCGTGACCCTTCTTTACACGGTGCGTATGCTGTGCAGTATGCATAGGACCCCGCCCACCATCTCTCCGTATTTGCAATAGAAAGAGGGAGGAAGAAACGTATCGCGCCGTCATGGTAGATGACGTCGTTTACTGACTGGGACTGGCGGGCTGGTCATTGCCAGGGAGGCCTTTCCTCGGGGGATTTCTCTGCAACTCCGCTTCCCGTTCTGCTCGAGGCCAGTTCGTATATCTTACCATTTGAAGCAAAACGTCTGCGTTTGGTGGGGCGCTCAACGTCCATGCTGCTCGAGTCTTCTTTCCTTCGTCATCTGAAAAGTGTATATTCCTCTTCGTCTGTGCGCTGTTGGGCACGCCAGCCATGCCCAACTGCCCTAGGCCCCCCCCCCCCCCTCGGCCGGCACCCTCATTGCTTGATGCTGACGCCGTCGGAAATGCAGTGCAAGTGCTTGTCCGCGTCAGCCGTGGCCTGGCACTCTGCCCTGGGGTCTGTGCACCCGAGAAATCCTCGCTAATGCAACTGCCCCTTCTGATCTCTGCGGTGCAGCACTCCGAGAAAACCTCGCTACTGTCACCGCCCCCATTCGTCCTCAGCGGCGCCGGCGCTGAAGTTCCTGCTCCACCATCCTCTCCAGCTCGGACTTGGGCGCCGCCGACTGGGGCTTCTTGTCTCCCACATAGACGGTCAGCATCCCCATCGCCATCCTCATGTCGTGGCCCGCGAACTGGCCCAGCTTCGCCATGGCGTCTTCCTTCATGTCCCTCGGGAGCACCGCCCTGAAGTTGGGAGATTCGTTGATGCCAAGCTGGATATTGCCTGAGCCCTCCTCCCAAAATTATTGCTCGTCCTCGTTCGGGTTCCTGTGCTTGTTGTTGCGCGCATTGTAGCTCTCGCTGACCTTGCACATCTTGATCGTCTCTGTGATCATGGCCTGGCTGTGCTCGCTGTTGTCCCCCACCAGCCTCAG